TAGGGACCTTGTTCCTTCCCCCCAGCTCGGCTGTCTCCCACTGCCTCGGGGCTCTGCAGCCAGCGTCCTTTGAGAACTGTTCTTTTATCCAACTGATTTCTGTCAGCAGCTGAAAAGTTATGTTTGCAACCTGTAGTCAGAATCAAGAGGTAAATGTCAGCTCTTCCCCTCTTTGAGGCAGGTTTGAAATTGTAGAGGTCTGTTCAATGGGACTTTGCAGTCTCTCCTTGGAAGAGCTGGGGTGCAAGGGTGGTATAAATACCTGAAGGGAGAACCAGGCTCTTCAGTGGTGCCCAGTCATGGGACCAGAGGCAAGTAGAACACGGAGGCTCCATCTGAGCGCCATGAAATGCTTTGTTTGCTGTGGGGATGACTGAGCTCTGGAACAGGTTGCCCAGAGAGATTATGGAGTCTCTGTTCTTGAAGGTAGTCACAAGCCACCTGGACATGGTCCTGGGCAACTGGCCCTAGGTGGCCCTGCTGGAGCAGGGGGCTTGGACCACATGTCCTCCAGAGCTCCCTTCTAACCTCAACCTTTCTGTGATCCCTTTGCCTGGAAGTCCTTGGATAACAGTCTCTGCACAGGCAAGCAAGCTAGATCAGAAAGGTTGTGAAGCATTTAAAATCCAGGGCCCTCTAGCCTTGTCATGACAGACTGATGTGTTTCCTTCTGTCACTAGGGAGCAAGCCCATGAGATACAAGACCACCAACAAAATCCTAGCAACAACTAGTGGAACTGGCCGCTCTCCCCTCAGCATCCTACAAGATGATAATTCCCCCAGTGCTCCTGCCCCTCGCCAGGTAAAGGTTAATGGGCCCTAGTGTGGGAGGGAGAATGGGCTGGGGGAAAAAAACCCTCAAATCCTTCATTTTCTGTGCTTTGTAGGGTCCCAGTTTGGAACTGTGGCTTCCTAGGCCTGTAGAGCCTAGTGACTTCATAAGTCTTTTTCTGTGGGTCGGTCTTGTCCCTAGGTGCCCACTAGTCTTGTTTAATGTCTGTATCTTTGGCTTTACCGTGGTATTGTCCATTTCAGTGCATCCTTTAGGCTGTAGAGAGAAATCTGTCACTTAAACACTGCCACAAGAGAGCCAAAGCTGAATGGCCTGAAAATGGGCTACATGTTCCACAGAGAACTAACCTTCAATTAACTTCTGTTTTGTACTATGTTTGTTTTATTTCTCTAGGGTAAGAGGCACATGTTGGGAGAGAACCTTGGGGAGAAGAAGGAAGTGATGGTGGATCTGGGCAGGAGCCTCAAATCTGGGAACTGTGCTTGGAGCGACTTGAACAAAGAGAACCAACAGTGCCCTTTTGTGGAGAACTAGGCATTTCCTCCTCCAAGATCTTGCTGTAATTTGCTTCTATGTTTTGAGAGTCTTCTGGGGTGAGAAATCCTACAATAGACTGGAACTTCAGGCTTGCGGTCATTCTTCTCACCTATCCCTGTTGGGGGAAGAGTGCTCTGTCTCTCCTTCCAGGCTCTGCATGTCTTGTGTACAGTACCAACTTCAGCTCTTCTGTTGTATATCGGCTGTATTGACTTGCTGTAGTGTTCTTATCTGTAGCAAATAAATTTGTATTAAATCTTTGCTGATTCTATCTATGTCCTGATAGGACAGTAGGAGTTCCTTGGTTGCCCAGTGCAACGTTTGCTTTGGGGACAAAGATTCAGCTCAGCTCTGTCCCTGCCTGTAACATGCCACCATGGAGCTGTGCTGCGAAGGGTCTGACCATGAACCCATGTACTACAGAGTGAGCTGGGAAATTGCAGCTCTTCAGGTGATCAGTGTCACTTCTGGAGTTCTGCTGCACCTACAAAGGACTGTAGCCTACTGCAGGGGTCTGCTCATGCCAGATCCAAAGCAGCATGAGTTAGTATTATGTGTTAATATTTTGACCTTCTGTTGATAAGTCACTACACCTTCTTGACTTCCACCTCTATTGCAGAGCTTTGGGACTCTATGATGTTGGTATGGTCCAACAAGTGGAATAGGGGCAAATCTGCAAGGTGTGCAAGGATACATTTTCAGCTCTAGGGCAGCAAGCCTCAGGACTAACAGCCTCTTCTCAACTGAAAACATCGGTGAGGAACACCCACCCCTGGGCACTTTGAGGTAGAGCAAGGCCTGGGGATAAGATGTTCTCTGGATAGGGTCAGCAGACAGTATGCACAGGAAGAGAGTTATGTTTGCAGTAGCTCATTGCAATGATGGAAAGAACAGAGCCTGCTGTGCTTATGTGAGCTTTCTTTATTTGCCTGGGCTATGGAGGTCTGTGACAGACTTGAAAATGGGCTGATGGCTACTGGTTAGACAGGGTCACCACACAATGCAGGGGTGAGGCAAAAAGAGAAGGAACAGCAAGAAGCAGACAATAAATAAGAATAAATATAATAATTCCTGGTATTCCAGCAGGCCTGAGGGCTACTTCTCCCTCATTTATGCATAGATAAAATTTGAGCTAAGTCTTCCCCAATGGAAAATGAGCCCAATTTACACTAGCTTTTTGTTTGAGGTTGTATGATAGAATTCTCAAACCCAGTATGTCTCTGAGACTGCCTGCAGGGATATAAGACAGCTGCACAGAGAAGCCAGGTAGAGTTAAGTCTGGGATAAAGGTGTTGGGATGAGGGGCCCTCTGAAGGATGGGTGTCGATGCAGGAAAGAGGTGTTTGAAGGAAGATGCAGGGTCTCTGAACTGTTACGTAAAGTCCTGAGACATAATGAACAGTGTTTTGCAGGTGTTCATGCCTGCACAAGGCTGGAAGCTGCTGGGCCTGTTTAGAGGTAAAGAGAAGGGCCAGTGTGTGTTCCTGCTTCCCAGCTCCCCCTCCCCAACCTCTCCTTTCCCTTTCACTCTGGGAGACCCCTACAAGCGACCTGTGTCTAGAGACAAGCGGGAGTGGTGGGTAGGCATTTCTGTTGTGCTCAGCTGACAGTGCTGTTTGCATGGGCTCTGGCTGTGGGCCATGCTTCCGCTGCTCTTTTCCTCTCTGCTTCCGGCTTCAGTTCCAAACCTTGAGGAAGCTGTCCCAGGAGCCAGTGGCAACGGCCATGCCATCTGCTGTCACCCCTAAGCAGCTCACTCTGTTGTCATGGCCAGAAAGGATTCCTATGGGGGGAAAGAAGAGAGGTCAGGAAAAGAAATGGGGCCTGGGACTGACTATACTGAGGACATGCGTTATAAACTGTGTACCTACACCCCTGTGTATAGTTGCACAACATGTTATGATCAAAATGTGGCTAATAAGAACAAACACGCAGAAGAACTTTTGTGCATGGCATGCAACCACCACCCATAGGACTGGCCAAAGAACAGTGTTCTTGTGAAGGTCTGGCTAGCAGAATTCTCATACAACTGCTTTCACTCTGGAGCAATGGCAGATGACTAAGAAAGGATGTGGCATCCTTGATAAGTCTGAGAAATAGACATGCTATTTCTGCATGGGCTGTGTTGTAAGTAATCAGAGTCTAGGGGCCACATCTGAAAGAACATTGCACTTGGGTGTATTCTATGTATGAGCATCACAAAGGTGCTGGATGGAAGCTCGGGTCCATGCTCAGCTTGGTGCCCTGCCACCAAGTGGCAGTCTGAGTAGCTGGAACTGGCAAAAGGCAAAGGCTGGGAGAAAGTGCTTGTGAGCACTTTTAGCTAATAGGAACCTTAATGCTCTTTCCCCCCTTTTAGAAAAGATAAAGGCCTCTTCCTTGCCTTGGTAGGGACAGAAGATCTCGCAGGGAACGAAAGGAGCACCCCCAGGCGCCACTCACCCACACGCTCTGCTTTCAGGGAGTCCCAGATGTTGCAGTTGAAGTCATCATATCCAGCAAGCAAGAGGCGCCCGCTGCGGGAGAAGGCGACGGATGTGATCCCGCAGATGATGCTCTCATGAGAATACACGATAAGCTCCTGGTCTGCCCGGAGGTCGAAGAGGCGGCAGGTGGCATCATCGGAGCCGGTGCAGATGGCTTCACCGTTAGGGAAGAACTGAGGAGGACACACACCAGGTTTTATTTAGACTGTGCCTTACAGATTTCCTCACCTCTTCACCTCCCTGTTCACCACCACAGAGCCAGGGAGGTAGGAAAACCCACTGGGACAAAAGACTGGATTATAAAAGTTGAGTCTGCTGAAGGGGGAGATCTCATCCTAAGGTATAGTAAAGCCATAGCACCTTGAGAAAGCAAATGACCTAAGGGCTAGAACCACTGCAAGACACCCCAGTCTTGAGGAAAGACTAGTGTCTCTCTAACTCTAGCTGTTATTTTGGGGGTTGACAACTGTCCACCCATGATTTCCCAGATGGGGTCTGACATGATTCAGAGCTACAAGAACCTTCCTCCGATCCTCATGCCCCAGCCTTCTCATACACACTTCTTTTCTGTGTCCTTGCTACAAGGAGCAAAGAAGAGCTCCTCAGGAGCAGGTATGGCAGAAAACTGTGTGGCTGGCAGAGTAGCATGAGAGAGGTGAGAAAAGCTGTACTAACTGAGGCCAATGGAGGGTGGTTCAATCAACAGAGGTTGCAGGAAGCTGGCAGACTCATTTGGTTAGCCACATGGGATTAAACTAACATATTCTTTGCCCTGCTACCTCTAGGGCTCTGGTTTGCATCCTTGCCTCTGAGGGGGATACTTGCTCCCAAATATCTGTGCTTCTTCCTCTTCAGAAGATCTCCCCAGGAAGAGCCAGCCTCCACACTTCAGTGAACGTAGGCTCTTCCTGCTTCAATCTGGATCATGGGGCTAAAGAAGGTCTTTTGAGACCCTTGTTCCCCACACGACTATGACAGCTTCTTTCAACCTTGTCCCAAGACCCCGTTTCAGAGCTGGTCCATTTTCCTTGCCTGCCCAGCACTGTGAAGCCAGCATACGTACACAGATGGCGTTGATATCAGACTCGTGCCCTGAGAAGGTCTGGCGGCAGGTGCCCTCTCGCACATCCCACAGTTTGGCAGTAGCATCGCAAGCCCCAGAGATGAAGAGTTTGAAGTCTGGGGAGACAGCCAAGCTCATACAGTCACCGGTGTGACCCAGGAACACAGTCTTCTGCTGCCCCGTCTCAATGTCCCAGAGTGCGCTGTGGGAGAGGAGAGAGCTTCTCAGAGCCATCCCAGGCAGAACAGGGCTACAAATGGGCTAAAGAGCTACCACACTCATAGACAGAAGGAGGGAAGCCATGGGTCTGGCTAAGCACAGGAAAATGAGGATATCCCTGGAGTCAGCTGTGTACAACAGGAGATGTCTTCACAGCTGTTGCTAGTCATACCTTTGCCAAAGCAGAGCTAGACTGAGGCTGGGGGTGTGGGAGGTTTGACCCTATTCCAATAACTGTGACAGTTGAAGGAAATACTGAGAGAAGGTTAAGAAGACCCCACAGGCAACCAGGTGGCAAAGGTCTGCTGCATCCACACTTGTAGGATGCATGGGCCATATTGACTGGGATCCCACGTTACAGCCAGGCAAACAAGCCTTGTGTAACCTTGATCTCTGATGGAAATGCCACATCTTGTCTCATCCTCAGTCAAGAGGTTCTTCCATATAAATTCATCATGTTTTCTGTCATGACACTGTGCTTCGTGAGAGCTGACGACATGGTCCTTACTGCTGCACCAATAGACCTGCATTTTGACCTGTTTTCCACTGGGATAAGAAGCACATGTTCTGCCAAGGGAGGAAGAATGGATGTGGCTTCCCAAGGTGCTTTGTGTGGCCTCCATGTGTAGGAGGAATTAGTCCTTAGCGGACTGCTGTAGAGCTAAAATACTGCACTGGCCACTAGGCACGAGGGATCATGTCACTAGGATGTGGATGCAGAAGGTAACACTCACCATGTGGTATCTCCAGAGCTAGTCACAATGTTGTTGTCATCAAGAAATCGGCAGCAGGAGAGGTAACCTGGGAGGTAGGAACAGGCAAATATGAGAAATGGGGTAGGGCTACAGGAGTAAGGTTTGGAAGCAAAGGGCACCCAGGCTGCAGGCAGGCACCACACACACCTGTATGGGCTGAGAGCTCCCTGCTCACTTTGACGTTGCCTTCACGAGTCTTCAGGCTGTAGATGGAGCACATGTTGTCAAGGCCTCCACAGGCCACAAAATTGCCTGAGGGGGCATAGGCACAGGTCATGACCCAGGAGGAACGCAAAGGGATGGCATGAACCTGGGAGGACAAGAAATCATGTCAGGTGTCTGGCAGCAGAGAGAGCAGGACAGGGGCATTAGCTCCAAAGGGGACCCGCTCCAGCATCCTGGTTTGCTGCAGCCATCAGACTCCTACCTTGTTAGTTGTGTATGTGTCCCACACAATCAGTTTCCCATCTTGTGAGGCACTGACCAGAAGTCTGTAAGAGAGAAACAAGGTCATGTTAGTAGGTCTCTTCCCATCAGAGCCTTCTCACCCTTCACACCCATGTGCTGCCCTGCACCCAGCACGTCTCTCACTTGGAGTCTGTGGACCAGTGCATGGCATAGATCTTGGCCAGGTGCCCACGCAGGGTTCTTCGGGTCCGCATCTGGATGCGGCCAACAACCTCCACACCAGACACGATCTGAGGAAACAGGGGGAGAAGAAGAATTCACCTTGGACTGGCAGGAGCTTTATTCTCCCCACATCGCTGCCTCCTAACTCCATTCCCAACTGGAGAGAGTCCCCCTTGGAGCGGTGCTGGCTGACACCCCACCACCCTCACCTGCCCGGCCAGCCCTGTCCTTACCTGAGCAAGTGTTGTGTCTGCGCAGGCTTTTCGGGCATCCTGGAGAAGAGACGAGAACAGATGGGTCAGGAAAGAAGCCGTGACATGAGGCAATGTGGAATGCAGGGGCACAGCCTGGGGGACGCTACAAGTAGGAACTGGGCCTTTGCTGTGTTTTGGCTGTGGCCGGCACAGGGAGATCCTGGTCTGTGACCAGGGCACCTCGGAAGGTGAGCTAAAAGCTGCTCAGCATCCAGTGCCCCGTTGGACACCCTTTCCATGGATCTTCCCAGCTGCCTCCCAGAGGTCCTGGGGACACACTACACTCTTTGGCCCTATGCAGACACAATGCTGGTAGCCACTTCTTTCTCACCATTGTATTGTCCCGTCTTCATTCCTTTCTTTTCTTTCTCTTCCCCCCACCCTCCATGCTATGAAGATCTCTACCAGCACTTAAAGGACTGTGCAGAACTGCAGGGGCCTCAAGGATATAGATGGAGAAAGCTGAACCCCACGCTGTGGCTGAGGAGGACAACTTGGACACTGGGTAGACACCCTCTTGGCAGTTTCATGACTGTTGCCAACATTACCGCAATCTGCTTCTTCAGCTGCTCAGCCTCCTGCTTCATCTGTTCCATTTCACCCATCTTTGTGACCTAGGGGTGGCTCTTCCACCTGGGCAGCCTTGAGTCTGGGGAGACAAATCCAAGGAGAGAGGTGTGAGATTGAAAGGGCATTGGTGTGACTGCTCAGCTATGCAAATGTAGGCACCTCTGATAAAAGCTTTGCAACTATTTCTTGCCTGAATGCTCAGTAATGTGCTGTAACTGGTCAAAGCCCTTAGCAAGATCATACTTGGCCTGATGAAAGGTCCGTTTGGTCTGGTATCCTGCTTACACATACACTGAGAAGCTGAAGACCTCTAGAGCTTCTTACGGAGGTTCTGGCCACACTTGTCCCCTCACCTCTTTATTTTTAATCTTTCCATCCCAAGCCCTGCCAAGTTCTGGGTCTGCCTCATCGGCTTCTCCCTGTCTGTGGCAGAGCTGTCCCCGTCCATGGCCGAGCTGTCCCCCTCAGCTTCAGGAGGAGGAGCCCAGTGGCTATCTCAGATCATTTGTCTTAGGTAAAAGCGTCACCAGGCAGTGCCCACCTGGGGGCTAGTCTTTGACCATCAAGGAAAAAGGATCTGTAAGGATCCATGTAAGTAGGTAGTGATATTTCTCCTACTTTCCCAGCCCCAGCTTTTCACTGATGTCCAAAGCTAGAGGCAGCATTAGTTGAAAATTCTGGATGGAATTTTCTTCTATGCATTTGTTCGCACAATTTTTGTGCTCATGTCAAAGTTTAGCACCCTCTGTACCCTCAGGCTCTGCAAGGAAGATTGGTTCTGTTACCCCCCAGAGACACTAGTTCCACCTGGTGGTCCCTAGCTTTTGAGTTGGAAGAATCAGCAAATAACTAGTCTCTATTCACCTCAGCATCACTTGGTATTTTACAGATCTTTGTCATATCTGTCTTCATCCATCTCTTTTCCAGACTGCAGAGCACACTTAGTCATTCCTCCCATGTAAGCCACTGCATCCTATTATCTCTGTTGTTCTCTAAGCCCTTTTCGGTTGTTTAAAGAGCATAGGTGATCTGCTTTTGCAGGGAGCAGTGATCCAGAACTGTGATCCATATCCAAGATCCAGATGCACACAGCAGCTCTGTCCTCTTTTGTTGTGTGCGCTTAAAACTTCACCAGTGATTCCAGCATCTCCCACTCTTGTAGCCAATTTGGGTCTTTAATTGCTTCAATCTTTGTCCTGGGTAGATGTGAGTGTCCAGAAGTGCTCTATGTGTTGTTCACCATTAGAAGCAGCGCTTTGCCCCAAGGCCAAGAAATGCTCCAGCAGCGCCTACAGCATTCCTCTTAATCTGTGTGGGTCACACCACCTCCATCCCCCTCTGGCCTGTTGTGTGAAAGCCTCATTTTTTCCAGCCAATGGGGTTTTGGGTCCTGCCATGCCAGGCTGCACTCCTGCTGTGGGCAAGCACATGCAGGTAGCTCCCACCTTTGCTTGCTGCTTCATAGAGCTCTTTGAGTTTCCCTCCAGAATCCCTTCCCTTGTATGTCTCCATGGCTTTGCTTTGATCCTCCGGGCAGAGTGAGTTTCTGTTTGATCAATGACTCCTGCAGCATGGTTTTGACTTTGGGAAATACAGGGCGATACAGGATTCCCCTAGCTCCAGGGAAGCATGATCTTATCACTGGGGAGGCTATTTCAGGCTGTATGTGCTGAAAGGCTTGTACCTGCCGACCTCAAGCCTGAACGGAGCCACAGCACCGCTGCCTGCTCCCTGCCCATGTACTGGATGTGGCTGCTGGCCCGGTCTGCTGGCCCCACCACATGGCGAGAGAGCAGGAGAGGAGCCCAGGGCTGCACTGTCGGAGTCCAGAGGCATGTGCCTCAGGCACACTGAAGGATGGGGACAGACCAGCACACGAGCTGTGCCCTTTTCACTGTTGTATTTGTCTCTCCTTTAACCAGAATAGTAATGAGGGGGTTCCTCCCAGCAAGGATGCATAGCTGCACCTGCCTGAGTGATGCTGGGCACGGAAGTTCACCTCCATGCACTTATCCTCTGGGAAGGGGCTGGGCACCCCACGCCATCTCTCAGCTAACTGACAGACTGGCAAGATGCTGGGGAGGGCCTTTCAGCTTTCGAAAGAAAGCATCCTCCTTATCTTGTGGTGGTTGCTGCTCAGTTTCAAGTGTACAGTCAAGCTGCAGAGACTGCACCCAGCTCTGGTCACTTGCCTACCAACACACCAAGTGGCAAACCTGAACTTGCAGCCACTCTGTGAAGAACAGCTCTACCGTTGTGGTCCACACCTCCTCCTACCTCAATTTTCCCTTCATCAACCCTATGCACTGCACTGCCTTTTCTTGCTGGGCCACCTCTTCCTCTGACTCTCTCCTCCCAGTCTCCACTGCTTGGCCTAGAAGCTCTCCAGGCTGTTATTTCACACACATTTGGCCATCTGAGATTGTTGTCCATTCACCTGCCCTAACCTGTCTTTGTGGACTTCTTGTTTTTCCCACCCAGGCTTGCATGGAGACAGGAGTCTTGTTCTCTCTTTCTTCCAGCTTGTGCCCCATGTGAAGCTGGCTGCACACGTCCTCCTCATGACACATCGGAACCCCAGCCTTCCTTGCCTCTGTCCTCCTTTTTTACCATGCTCTTCCCCTCTCTGGGTGTTTCTTTCTCAACTCTGTCACTACCATGGGAGCACCAGTTCACAGGCTCCTGCTCTGTGAAGCTGCACAACCAGACAAGGGGTTTTTGGAGCCAGTAGACAGATAAAAGGGCAGGGGCATGATGCTGAGGATGGATAAAAAGGGCTAAATATAGAGAAGGTGCAGCTCAGGTTCAGGACTCTGTCCAAACCTTTAAATCCCTTTGGGGGAACACTCTAAATGAAGTTGGGAATTGTTCTTAGCCTCAGAAGGACAAGGAGCCACAGATGAGAGATAATAATAGCTCCAGCTTTGCCTGTTACCTCCAGCCATCACATCCCTCTGCATGTTGTGAAGAGTGAGTTACTTGGTCCTCAGCTGCCTCCCAGCAGCACCACGGCAGGTGTGCAAAAGAGCAGCTCCTCATGGCCATGTACATTTAGAACAGGAAAGGGAGGAACCGAATAAGGGACGAACAGAGGAAAAAGGAATGGAGTTTGGAGTCAAGCCAAGGCATGTTCCTGCCGTGACCAGTGGAATCCTAGGGATGCACATTCGTTGTGGATCCACAGCTTAGTTCACTGTCGCTCATGATAGCTGCCCGGCCTGGTTTTAATGGGGAAGGCTTCTAAATGGTGCTCACTCAATACTTTCTCAAAGTAAGGGCTCTTAGTAATGCCAAGCAGTAGAGGAAACTAAGTCCTTAGGTACCTTTGGAAAAGCAATTCACCACCGTCAGCATTGCAAAGAGCTACTGCCAGGAGGATCTTTGCACCAGTACTGGTCCAGAGTCAGTTCAAGCCAGCCCTGTTCTGAGCTCTGTGTTGGCTGTGCTCATCCACTTCACAGTTCTTGGCTTTAGAAACCATGTTTCATTCCTTCTGCTCTTTGACATGACAGTCCTTTCCCCTCCTGCCTTTTCTGATACACTTGCTGGAGGCACCTGCTGTAGCACTCCTGTCTGTGGGCAACCAGACCCATCCTGAGCCCTTGGGTGTCTGCTTGTAGCAGAGCTATTGCCTCTACCATGCTGTGAGGATGATGGAGATCCAGAATCATCCACCATCTGCCTTTTGCTGCCACACCATGACTTCTCAGGACAGTGGCTAAATCCCTTGCACCCCGCCATCGCTGGGGCCCAGCCTGCACCCCAGGGGCTGTCCTATCGAGCCACCTGCATCACTCTTGTGGGGATCAGGGCACAAGAGATGGGTGGGAAGAAAGGGGAGGTGAATCCCCTTATTTCCTATCTTCCAGGTAGCTTTCCCCTCCCTGGGAAGGGAGTGGTCCCTCTGGGGGATGCTGGGGAAGGGCTGTAGGTAGAAAAGGGAAAGGTGCTGGAGGGAGGACTGAGTATTAATAGGCAGCATTCATAGGTCTCTGTGTAATCCCTAGCTGGCTTCGCATGCTCGCCCTGGTGACCCTGGGCTCCTTGCAGAGCCGGATACAGAGATGATCCTTCTCCCCTGTGATGGAGATCAAAGGCCAGGGTAAAATTACCCTGCTCTGCTCCTTGCTTTCTGAGGGCTCCTTCTCCATTCAGAAAAGCAGCCAGCTGCAAAGAGGTCTGCACAGTGGTGCACCACGAGTGCAGGGCTGTGTACCATAGTAAGTACCAGGTCTCTCAGGGGAGGCGTAACCCCCCTGTTCCAGTCTGGAAACTGGTGAGATTTACCTGCCAAAGGGAGAACAAGCAACCCCATCCCGGTGCAAAACCTCTCATCATTATAAAAGACATCTCAGTGCTAACCCCAATCCCTTCCCCACCGTCATCTTCCCTCCCACATCCTCTGATGGGATCAGTCCTTGTACAAAGACTCCCTACAAAACCACACCAAGAAACTCAGGCTCCCAAGTGCTGGGTTCACCAAGGTGACCTCAGGCATCACAACACGGCAGCATCCTTACCGGGATCTGTAGACCGAGGTGGGTTGTGGTCCCCCCTGGATGGGACCCTCACAGCCTCTTTCCCCTGCTGAGACACGGCTCCCCACCAGCCAGAAGCCCCTTGTCACTGTGTGGTGTCCACTCGGTCCAGCGCGTCTGCACAGCGAGTCCCTTGCTCCCGCTCTGCTCCTCAGCCTCTCCCGGGACTGATCTCCCCATGGGAAGGCTGTGGACGGGAGGGGTTGGGGGAGGGCTGATTCCAGGAGCAGCGTCAGGCAAATTAAATCAGACACCAGAGACTTGGGGAAATCGGATTGGGATGTAATGCAAAGCAGGTGGGATGGGGAGGGGTGAAAAGAGAGAGTAGCACTCTGCTCCTGAAGGGAAGGAAACCATCACGGGTGCGTTGGACTCCTGTTCATATCAGCAACTAATAAAGTGCAGATTAGCCAGAACAGGCCAGGATTAACCAGCCACTGGGGCAGAGCTTGCTGCACCACACAGCGCACAGGAATTCCCGTTTTCCCAGGGACAGTGTGCCACCACTCATGTGATGGACATGGTGGGAAGAGGGATGGTGCCACCCACAGCAGCCTTGCCAAGAGAAAACCAATGTCAGCACCAGGCTCACCCCCCTCTCTGGGCAGCAAACTGGGCTCTGTATGGGGGAACCAGAACTGGGCACAGGGGTTAGGGGTGGCAGAAGATTTGGTGGCATGCCTTTTGGCAGCCACTTTAGTGGGATGCTGCGAGGGGATTATCTTGGCCTCAATCTCTTTTAATCTCTCCCACGGCTTTGGCCCAAGCCTGAGATAAATACCTTTTAACGGATCTCATCTGACGTCAGGAGGCCATCAGTCTAATCACCCAAGCCAACTTTGGGCAAAGCAAGCCAGAGATGTGGATATTGGCCCCTCACCCCCAACATGTCCTCATCAAGCAGGAACCAGCCAGCATCCCCACATGGATCATGGGGCAGCTGTGTGATGTGCACGGATGTGCTGGACCTATCGCCAGGGAAAGGGCATTTGAAACACACACATCAAAGTGTCTTCTTCCTGTGACCCTGGGGAGGATGGAGGCAAAGGGGTTGCTGCTGCAGGTTTACCAAGCTTGTGTGTCAAGGAAGTGCGGGGATCCAGACTGAGGAACATCTTCCCTTCCCATGGAGCAGGGGCCCTGTGCCAACAGCCATGACGGGATCACCCACTCACCTCCTACACCACTGGCCCTGGCCCTAAAGTTTTCTTCCAGCTGAACTTTAGGTGAGGTCTCCATGCTCAAGTCTCATTGAGGCCTGATCATGTCATGATCACAGACTGATCTCAGGCTCTAATGCTTCCCAAGGAAAGGGTCACTGCTCTTTTTGATACTCCATACCCACCCCATTCAATTCCTGTTTGGCTACAATATAATCTCATCTTGGTACACTAATCCCTGAGCAGTGACAGCAGATTGTATGTGTATCAGGGTAGAAACTGCTAAACAAAGTCTCTCCTTTGTTTTTAGGGGCAATTTAGTGCATGGAGAGAAGGGAGAAAAAGAAGAGAGGCCTTGCTGCAGGGACACGTGAGTATACAGGGCTCTTCCTAAAGGCACACCTCACCCTTCCCAGGGGTTAGCCATGGCGGAGCTGACTTTCCCTCTTGCTCCGTTATTGGAAGTAGCTGGCATCTGAGCAAAGACTTTGTTTTCCTTCACTGAGGGCTCACTCTCCTTCCATTGTTTGTTAAGTAAATTTCCACCAGCAATGAGTGTGCGTGTCTCCCTCCCAGCAAATAGACTCAAGCTCCCACAACATCTGTGTCCAGCATTTTGCTTTTATTCCATAGAGTTACAGTTCCTCACCTTCTCCTTCTCAGACCAGTTGCAAGGTTCTGGAGTGTGCAGGTGCCTAGGAAACTCAGAGGCTTCTGGTTTAAGTTCCTGAATGTGAAGACAGACCTTGCTGAAAGACCCCAGGCTCCTCCTCCCCCTCTCAGATTTGGCCCTGGATGACCAAGAAGCTGGCATTGTGAGGAGTGGGGTGAGGAGACCCTACCTTCTGACTTCTGAGTGGCACAGACACATTGGTGAGGCAGTGAAGAAAGTTCCTGGTGTCACTGACTTTAATAACTGTCCCTGCTTCCATTTTTCAGCTGCTGGGATGTCACAGAGAAGAAAGCTACATCCCTCCCCATCACTACGGCTCTAGCATGCTAATACACTGCTCCAGGCCTCTGTGGTCCTGGTGCTACCATGACCTGGCAGGCCATGGTGTGTGCCAGTCTTGCCCCTGGGGCCCCTAATACTCAGAACTCATCTCTGGCCCGCAGCTCCTTGGGGTGCTGTGTCCTGTCCAAGCCAGGCTTGTGTCTCTGGCTTGTATACCTGGTTTCACTGCTGGGAACAGGAGGCTCTGAGGATGATCTACCACTGCCATCAGCTCCTTGATGTTCTTCCCCATCAGTCTGGTCCTGCTCCACAGCCCTCTGCTCTATCAGCTCCTCCGCCTTCAGCCGTTCCTACAGCCATGGAGACAGAGATGATGTGAACCCGTCCCGGCTATGGTCCTGGCTCACAGGGGCTGACAAGACACATCTCATCTTTGCCATATCCATCCAACCCACCCAGAGCCCATTCTCTCTTGCAGGATCCATCACAGGCTAGTCTCTACACCAGGTGCCTTGTCAGAGGACAACCCTCAGCTGCTGCACTAGGCCCTGCCCCATGGGAAAGCCCACTAGCTATTCTCTGGGGGGATTCAATCTTGCTTGGAAGTACTTGTAACCCTTTCTCCAGTGTGGTCCTTTACCTGCTCAGCATGCTCCTGGGAGTGTGTGTACCAGAGAGCAATGGCACAGCGCCTTCCACGGCTCACTGCCCGCACGCCATGGGGGTTCTCCTTGCCAGAGCTGAAGGCTACCAGCCGCCCACACTTCGGATGCACCTCGGCCTGCCAGAAGAGAAAGAAGGGACAATGAAGCCAGCAGCCCCCTGCTCTGGGGCACATGGCCCTTCTATAGAGGTCATGCTGCCTCTGGGAACTTGGAACAGCAGACAGCCACCAGGTAACCACTGCCAGTCCATAAGCAAAGCAGATGTTGGGGAGTAACAGAGAGAATCAAAGGGACAGCACAGGTTGCAGACACCCACAGACTGGAAGAGCCTGGAGCATCTCAGCTAAGAAGGAGTTAATCTCTCTTCTGTCTGAGATTTGCCTCAATTTGCCTTTAGCTGCTCCTATTTGAATCTGCCACAGCACCAGTACTGGATTGGGTTTGGAATGGCGGGATCCAGCAACCAACTAGTTTCCTCCCACCCAGACCAAGTCTCACACTCTGTCCTCTCTCCTTCTTATGGCCACTCCCAGACTTACTGTGACAGTCACAGTGTCCATTTCAGTGAAGAAAAGGCCTCCACCTTGGAAGTCATCATTGAGGTAGAGAATGCCACTGTGGACAAAAACAAAGAGGACATATGGGAAGGTGAATCTCATTCCTCCCAGGTGCTTCCTCACATTCATCACAGGAGGCTGTGAATACCACAGGTTCAAAAAGCAAGTAGACCAGTTAGCAGAATCCATATGAGAGTGTTAAATACAGCAGTGCCTAACCCAGCTGATCCCTGAGCTGCAAGCCACAGGAGCCTAAGAGAATATTCCTCTACACTAAGGCTAAGAGAATTACCTCTACATGCTTGTCCTGGTTTGGTTTGGTTTGGTTTGAATCTTCTGCAGCATGCACCTGTAGCACCATTGCGACAATGCCCTGGACTACACAGACCTTTGTTCTGACCTGGCATGAAGTTGTTTATGTTTTAAGATTAGGAATAATGCAAAGCCTGGAAGAGGAGACTGATCAGCAAAGAAAGCCATGTCTTAAGAGTGAAGGAATTTCAGGGTAACATAAGAATGGTCAAGAAGCAGCTCAGTACAAGTAAAAAAGAAACTTAAAACAAGGCATTTCTTTACTATGTTAGACAACAAAGTAGTGAGGCCAGTGTACAGTGTAGGTAAGACTATAGTTGACAAGGTGAAAGAATGGACTGCAAGCTATTTGCATTCCTCTTGGCATTCAACTAAGCTGATAGAAAATGACAGAGGAATGGAGGCTCATCACTAGGACTAGGAGAAAGAAATAGAAATCAACACTGTGACTGCTGAAGCAAAACGTTAAGGACATAAGGACAGTGAGAGGATTACGAGCCCTGAAAGCCAGGAAGGCATAGCTCTTCTGTCACAGAGTTTTAATAAGACAGTGAAGTGAAGGTGGTAACATGACTGCGGAAAAGCAAGGAGACCTCTCACAAGTATGAAAGGGCAGGAGGGTAAGGTTAATGGTTGAAGCATAAATGGGCCTGTTAGCCTGACTGTAGTAGTCTGGAGGGCTTTAGACTCCATTTCTGAGAAGGATTATTGGGGGACAAGAGGTAAATGTGAAAAGTCTTACAATATACGATGGGGGCACTAAAAGGAGATCGGGATGGCCACACAGGCATTGACAAAACAGCTGGTTTGTCAGGGAAATGGTTGATCTCAGCACTTTGGACTCCAGTAAAAGTACTGAGAACAGTGCTATAGGGAAATGAGTAGAAAGGTGAAGAAGAGCACGTGAACAGCACACAGTGACTAGTGCACCAATGGCACCAAAAGGAATACTGTTCGCATGGAGGAGGAGTACTGGGACTCTTGGACTCCTGGGCCCAATCCTGTTCAATAATTAATGACCATAGCACAAATACAGAGAAGAGATCCAGGAAGTTCGCAGCACAGGGACATCTTTCAAAAGGACACTGGAAGAGCTCAGCCCTTTGGAGTTCCTTGGTCAATTATAATTAACTCTGCAAAAGGACAGGAATACTCCTGAAGATAACTCTGTGGCAGAGATCCCAGGAAGATGTTTTAACATTCATTCAAGGAAAAGTCAGAGAAGCCCACTCCTCAGGGAGGAGTGATGTGACAGGACAGCTTTCCCAGGGGAGGGAAAATGATCTCACCAGTTACATGATAGAGCCTGGTAACTTTACAATCTGACTATACCAAGTCATCATCTACACCAGAAGGAAAACGGACTCAGTGATACTGGAATTCCTTCCAAGACCCACATGCTTACCATAGGCTGCTCAGAAAAGATTTCTGCTCTGGGTACAGCTACCACTCAAAGAAAAGGCAAATAACACTTCTGGATGCCCAGGGATGGGATGGGAAATAGGAAGAATCAGCTGCAGCGAACTGACCGCATTTGGCTGCAGTGTGCAGTAACTGTCACCATCTTTAACATACATTTCAGGTTCTTACATAAACGAGTAATAAAACCTGTCACAGGCTGGGAAAACACTTTCACATGGGAAGAAAAAACCCAACACGAAGTATTGACAGTGAATCTTAAGAGAGATGAACAGAGAGAATAGTCACCAAAGTACACTGGCTGCTCAACCAAAGGAAATACATGGCGCTTGGTTCTCCCTCTCCTTTAATACATGGAAAAATGTGGAAGATGGAACTTGATTAGATGAAATAGTGTCATAAGGGCTGGCAGTGGGCTGTGAAAGTGTGGCAGACCTACGAGACAACAATCTGTTATCATAGTTCTAGTCTGTGTAGCCTTCCAGCATCATTCTGCTCTCCATTAATGATGGCTCTGAGGAGAGAGAAAAGGCAAACCTTCCCAACCTAGGGAAGGTGTTTCACACATCGTTCTGAAGACACTGATGCAGCCTTATGCCTGATGCTACAGTCCTGGCTGGCTTTGAGCCATCAACCCATCACCTGGTTTCTATAAGCTGAGCTCATCCTCAGATGGGGCTGAGGAGACATTCTGATTTCCACATGACCTAATGCAGGTCCCTTTCTTCTCTTACCTGTAGTCCCTGTACACATAGGCAGGTGGTTCTTTCCAGCACTCTTGCCCCTCAGGATCCAAGAGACAATTATCAGCATGGACAGGATGACTAAGATCCATGCGACCTTCCTGTTCCTCTGAAAACGGGAGTTACAAAGAAGAACAGGGGTATTTTCAGTTTCAAGAAAAAACAAGGCACAGAGAAAGGGGCACAGGGGGAGTAAAGGGAAGAGAGTCTCCTGAGAGCACATGGCTGGAACTTAGGAGACTCTCCAGGAGACAGGCGCTAACAGGGTGAAAGATTCTTACCATCCATGGCTGTGCGGCACACAAGGTGCGTGAAGGAGAAATGCAGTTTCTTTCCAGGAGTAAAATAGGATTCTATGATTTTCCGTGATTTCTCACTGGCCTGCAGAAGCAATTTGGCATCTCTCCAGTCCACGTCCCCATTCTGGGCCAGCTACAAGTGAAAAACAAGCCTGTTAAAATACTTGCATACAAAGACTCTCTAAGAAATGCTGTGTACACGTATGCAGTACGGAAGAAGAGACCTGTGTACAAGTCCTGTGGTCACACATCAAAGAAAAGAACATGTTTCCTCATGTAAATGTAAGTCAGGAGTACACCTGTACAGTACAGCAATTCTCTCCTCCTACTCAGCACATGAAGCCACACCTGGAATGCAGCATCACTTTGAGTCCCTCAGTGCCCAAGCGACACGAGCTAACTGGAGTGAGTCTTCAGTGAAGGGCCTTAAGATGGCAGGGGTGCACATCTGAAAAGGCTGAATGAGCTGGGTTTCTTCAGCCTAGAGAAGGCCAAAGGAGGATCTAACTACGGTCTCCTGTCACCTAGAAGAGCATTACAGAGAAGATGGAGATAGTCTCTTCTCAGAGGGATACGCTGAAAAAACAAGAGGCAACAGGCAAAAGCTGCAGCAAGGAAAATTTTGGTTAGACAGAAAAAGTTAGTCTTTCTCAGAGTGGTACACACTGAAAGAGGTGTCCAGAGGGAGTGGGGAATCTTCACTCCTGGAGATGATAAGGACCTGCCTGCACAAAACCTCAAGGGATCTCATCTAGCTTTGGATTAGCCATGCTGTGAGCAGGGGGTCCCATTAGAGACCTCCAGAAGCTCCTTCCATCTTATTATCCAGTTCTCATGTCTGCAAGACTGCGCAAGGACAAGGAACAATCCCAAAACCCTGTCTCACAGGACAGAGAGCATTTATCAAGCCCACCATGTAAAACATGCCTAAACATGACAGTGGAGGGGACTGCACTTGTGCTTGTGAGGAAGATAACACTTCCATGCCCCCATCCAGACTGCACTCCACAGAGACAAATACTCGGGTGACAAACACTGTTTCTGGACAATGAGGAAGGTGTCAGACTCACAGAGCCACTTACTTGCATGGCCTTCAGAACAGTCAGCCCTTCAAATCTCTCATGTGGGGTATGAGGTGACCGTCTTGCCCGGTAGCCATCTCCTGCTTCTCCCGCGGCCTAGAATAGAAGGGTACAGATGACACACCTTAGGATGTCATCTCTCCTCCATGGAAATGCTGCAGTCCTGCCTTCTGAGGAGGGAAGACCCAGGCCTCACCTTTGTCAGCCGGAGAAGGTCCTTACACTCAGACTCCGTCAGCACTCTGTCAAACACAACCCGCTGAGTTCCATTCATCTGGTGGGAATCCATCGTGACAGCAATACCCTCAAAAGGCAAAGGCCCTGTTGAGAAGCAAGTACAGACAGGCATGAGCAAGCTTTGGACAAGAAGCCCTCAGACACCAACCCCCAGTCTGGATAAGGAAGTGGAGAGACACTATACATTCTCTGAGGAGAGGGGACAGTTCCCCAGAAGTGCCCATTCCTCGCAGACCTGGGCCACTTGCACCCCTCACATGCTTCAGGGGAACCAGAGCATCAGCTGGGGAAGCTGGCCTACAGTGAGTGCTTCAGGAGCCAGCAGAAACTTGGGGCCTGCTGGGAGAGCAGCAGGGAAAAGTTGAGTGCACTGTGAATCGCAGCAGCAAAACAGGTCCAGCCTACTGGGGTGAGACTCTGGAGAAAAGAAGCAGGTAAACACCTCTGTCAACCCTCCTTTCCATCACACATCTCATCCCAGAATTATCGCCAGTGAATCTTTCTACTTTCTTCAGCCCCAAAGAAAAGAAATGGGTATTAGTTAGTGATCTGATCTTTTGATCTTTGGCCTTTTTTCCCCCTGGCTCTGACCTCTGCATGGTCAAGAATTCTAAGGCACTCAGGCCCTCAGAATGATGTGCCTCCCATGTGTCACAGCAGAGAACCACTTGGGATCACTTCAAGGAAAGACTCCAGGACAGAGCCCTGCAAGAGGCTGTGTGTCCACACATAAGAACAGAGGACCAGCAAGAACACGGTACTCTGCACTGCAGTCTACAGCATTTAGCCACAATACTCTTGGACTTGTGTTTTTCAGGGAAAGACTTGCCCAAGCCAAATAGTCTGCTTCCAGTTTCCATTTCTCCCCCTCTCCCCTTGTCCCCTTCAGAAAAATGGTGTTTGAAGTTGGGCTGGTGGAGTTGAACCAAGTTTGGTGTAGACACTCCTGCCACACTGAACAGGGATCTGCATGTCCATAGACTTGTCATGTATTCAGGCACCACTGCTCTCAGCTTCTCCAGCCACAGTGCTCTGAGTTCCCATCCCAGAGACATACGCAGTGAGATTTTGCAAGATTACACATGCATCAAAGAGGGAGAAAAGAAACAGTAAGAAGACTTGCTGAGCCATTCGAGTCAGTCTGCATCTATGCTAGCATTCCAATGTCTGAAAACGGAAGAAAAGACAGCACTTAGCTGGGCTAAGTCTGGCTGACTGCATCCAAGTCCTTCCTGAAGCTCTTTTACTTACCCCTCTTATCCCTCTCTTCCACATCCAGAGTTTCCTGCTTTTGCTTCTCCTGATCCTCTCTCGGGAGCAAGGGAAAAAACAGAGACCAGGGCTGTCAGAACACAGAGCTATGCCTAACTATCCTCTGTGGTAGCATTTCACACCCTTCCTGCTCCTGTTTTGTCCATTCCTCAGTAGGTGTTACTGTTCCTTGTACCATCCCCTACTTCCAACACTTATATTTCTGTCCTATTTGACTTGGCAACCTTACCTGTATTTCTCCTTTAGGTTTTCAGGAATCAGCTCATCTGGAGTCCAAAGATCCTGGAGGAACAAATGCTGATGGTTCAGTACACAACATTCTCCCACATTGGATGATATCAAACAGCCAGTTCCTTGTCCCACTTCTCCAGTGAATACCAGACCAATGGCTCCGGCCTGCTTCCGACAACAGCCACAGTGGGCTATGCCTATTGTTACAGCAGCAATTTCAAACTAACTTCAGTCCTGGAGCAGCGGGAAGGCCTTAAAGACCCCCCTCATAAGGACTCAGGGGTCTTTCTCATCAACATATGATCCTTTCTGGATCGTGTGCTATTGAAATGAATTCTGGTAACTATTGGTGAAATGAGGGCAGAAAGATTAACATGATACTTACAGGGTCATTAAAAGTTCCTCCTAAATGCTCCACTGCATAATAAATCAACTTCTTCTCCATCAAAGATCTCTGCACATAATGTTGAATACTCTAAGGAAGCAAAGAGGCTGTTAAACAATCACCCCATAAAAGACAAGCCCATCCCTGTCCAGGGCAGAAAGCTGCCTCAACACACTGCTGTGCACTTTGAAAACCAGGTTCTGTCCTGAAGGGACCCTGCCTGTACAGACTAGAAGTAAACTCAGGCTCCAGTTTCTTTAGTCCTGGCCTTGGCACAAGTCTGCAGTGAAACATGTTTCCCTTTTTGTCTCCTGGATTCTGATCCTGTTGTATGGGACAGAGGAGGGCCAAAAAGTACAGACCTGGGGTTGTACCTACCTCTCTGGCTGTAACAGCTCTGTCCTCTCCCAGTCCTGTGCGATACTGGTTCATCTTCTCCAACATTAGCTCATCCATGGGATAGAAGAGCAAGTAGGAAGCAGCGCATTCAGCAGCCAGCGCCTGGTTCCCAACTTGTGCAGGGACAGAAAAGAACGAACAGGTTAGTCTGTGAAAGAGTCAACGTTAGCAGCAAATGTGCATAGGCCAGCAGCAGCCAACACCCTGCTTAGGACCGGACAGCAGGAGGCCTTACAACAGAGTACACATCAATCCCTGCCTCGCTGGGCCTCTACCCAACAGTGGGAAGGGAATACAGCGAATAAACCTGGTGAAGAATGGGTCCACTTTCAATACTTACTGGGAGCTTGTTCAGAGGAGATGGAGGGAAAAAAGGTATATATTTGGAAGAAAGATGGTCCCACCTCCCTCACCCAGTTGACATGAAGAGGGGTCTGGAGGCTTCTTTGAAAGTGGTCTGACAGAAGAGATGAGGCAGTTGGGACAATGTAGAAAGGAGCAGAGGTATCCAAGAGAAGAGCTGAGGGACATGTGAAAGTGACAGGGTGACAGAATGATCAATACCATGACAAGCCATCACTTCAGTGAGGGCAGGGAGGGCTTGATGGCTAGCAAGATTGGAATTTGCCATAGTGATAATAGTATCTGGCGTGAAAAGTAAGAATAACAACATCACTTAGCAAAACAGAATGTAACAATAGGACTTTGTATAAGCAATGCATTCCTTACTAACCACATTAACCTAGAAAGAGGAACTAAAGGACTGATAAAAGGGGCCTGCCACAGAGGGTGCCAAAGACTGGATGATTAACAAAGAAACAAGCCAGCAGAAACGGTGGTAACAGAGTGAAAGGTGAAGGTGGCAGGGGGAGACTGTGAGCACTGACTCAATTCAGGACCAAAAAGGCCCACACCCTCAGGGAGCACGCACTCTCATTTACATTGCAAAAGAGGACAATTTGATGCAGGGAAGATAGAGTACTAATTAATATCATAATTTATCAACTTTTGACCAATGAAAAGTAATTTCTTTGTTCTCTCAAATGTAAAGAATCATAGAATAGTTAGGGTTGGAAAGGACCTTAAGCTCATCTAGTTCTACCCCCCTGGTATAGACTCTGATGTATGCAGAATGAGGGTGTGCCTGCTTTGTGCAGCTACCACCTAGCACCCTATCTTGTGCAAAAGAGCAAGTAAATAAAATACCTCGACTCTGTGTTTATACTGGCATTTTGCACAGGAGGTAAACAATCCCACTTTTGGGACTACAGGCTGACTCAGAAGGAACACCACTGCTGAGATGAGATATATATGCATGACCTAGATAGGAAGTGGGGGCCTGGTCTGGAGCCATGTACTAAAAAAGAGAGCATAAAACACACAGCAGATAGTTGGTGCAAGGGAAGATAAAGAGAGTGCTGGAAGAAAGAAGTGGGAACAGCCACACATTGCAGAAGCTGCATAAGGAAAACTGAAGTGGACCACAGGAAACCTCTCCTAAGGTGGCCACAGGTTTTAGAAAGAAAAGAGAGGTTCTGGGAAGAGCTGGGGGATAGAAAGAGGGAGACACAGGTAGCGCTCAGGTCAGTGTGCTTACTCCTTCCCATGACATGCTGTCCTCCAGGCCCAGAAGCAAAGGGCAAGTTTAGGGGTGCCACAGCATCACCTGCTGGGTTGTGGCTTTGCTCACCTTGATCGTAGGCAAACTGCAGTAAATCAAGATGAGAAGGTATGAAATCTTCTGTGGCAGAAATCCGCCCTGGCTTTGTGGCGATTTCAAGGACGCACTGCTGTCTGCACTTCAAAACCTGAATATAATGGGCTGCAAGAGAGAGGAGCAAGAAAAGCAGTAGCTCACACTTCTTCCGGACAGGAGCACTGGGAAATGGGGTGCGTCCAGTGTGGGAAGCACGGCCTTCCTACCCAACCCTCTGTGAATCTAATGCTACCTGCAATGGCTTCGTACAGGCCAGGTTGCATCTCTTCCTCCTCCTCCTCATCCTCCCAAGGCCCTTCACACAGGGCACGACACTCTTCCAGTGCTGACAGCGCCTCTGTGAGTGACTCCTCCAGCCTGGCCACAGCCTGCAGGTACTCATCTGCATCGTAGTGCTGCACCCCAGCCTCATATGCTTCCTGTGAAGGACAGATCCAGGTCCCTCATCAGCGTGGGTGACACCAAAGGATGCCTGAGACTTCAAGTCGCTCGCAGGGTAGTACTGACATCTAGGGGCCTGCCCGATCCCGCACAGCCCACTACGCAGTGACAGCGCATCTTCTGCACTTAAGCCAAATACAGTTCTCCAAGGCCCTGCAGCCTGCTGTAACCAAGGTCTCTGTGGCACGCTTGCAATGGTTTGTCTTCACCCCGAAGAGAGGACTTCAGGGAGACCTTCTTGCAGCCTTTCAGCTGTAAAAAGGGTTTTTTAAGAAAGACTGAGTGAGGCTTTTGACCAGGGCCTGTAGAGACAGGACAAGAAGCAATGGTTTTAAGACGAAAGAGGGTAGATTTAGATTGAAGATAAGGGAGTCATTTGTTATGATGAGGGTGGTGCGACACTGGCACAGGGTGCCCAGAGAAGCTGTGGCTGCCCCATCCCTGGCAGTGTTCAAGGCCAGGTTGGACACAGGGGCTTGGAGCAACCTGCTCTAGCGGAAGGTGTCCCTGCCCATGGCAGGGGGTTGGACTAGGTAATCTTTAGAGGTCCCTTCCAGCCTAAATCATTCTATGATTCTATGTGCGGGACCCTGTCTCAAGCTGTGGCTCTTGTGCGGGAACAGATAAGGGTCCCAGTCTGGTCGCTAGGATGGGATAAGAGCAGCTGACGCCTGGCTCTCCACTGAACCCTCACCCAGTGTGGCGTGGCCTCCAGGTCTCGGAAGTTGTCCGACTTC